TACCCCTCCATAAACTTAATGACAGGCTAATTTTGCAGAAGAGACATTTACTACCACAAGCAATGACCCGTCTGCTAGACTGAGCTATCAGGGAAAGCGAGTGAAATGAAGCCAATGTACACAAAAAAACTGAGAGCGGAAATCGCAAATTATTACTCTCCCAAGCCTGTTAAGAGTGGGGTGGAAAGTCTGAATGTCACATGCTGTAATGTGTTACTGATATTTCAACAAATCGCTTCATTTGTCCTGTCCAACACACACCTTCTCTCTGACTGTGAAAGAAGACACTGAAGCTCTGAAATTATGGCCTGTAATAAAAGCTAAGGGTCAGTGTAGCTGATGGAATCACCTTTGGTGAAAACAACCCAAACTGAAGTCTCCAGGGATCAGGGAAAAATATCTGGCTCTTTAGCTGCTAAACACTTTTACCAGCTGTTCTGTGATTAACCCTAACTCTTAAGTCCATCTGTGGTTGGGAGCTGTGCCGGTAGAGTACAGTTGGTATATTGGAGCTCATTTGCTAAAAAATAGCTTTCCACTGCAACTGGAAACAAGTAGGGGTGCCCCCTTATAGTCGACATAACCATTACTTGTTGTGAAGAGTCTTTTATTAGTCAGATAGCAGCAGAAAAACAACCTTAAACTCCATTTGTGAGCTGATTATTGCAGTACGGACCTTTTCTCTTGTGACACAGGAAGCATATGCTAACTGCTCCAGCTGCCATTAGCTACTTAGTAGTCCTATTAAATGACTCTACCCGGTCTTGGAGCTCGAAGGACAGTGCTGAGGAGAGCACTGAGACTAAAGATTCACATTAAATTTGTGAGCCATAATAATCAAAACAATGCGCTAAAAGAGCCTAAAAAGCTATTTTGACATAATACAGTCATTTGTTTTAATGAGTTTTCTCAAGTGAGAAAGTAACTAACAAAAAGATGCTACTGAATTGCATTATGGGAAGTGTACAATCCCATGTTTGTGACCCATATTAGGAAAATTAAGGATATCTTCAATTCTGACCATTCTATTTATGTCTCCTGTGATGTCATGGTCAAAATCTGTCATTTGTCTTTTTTGATTGGTTGTCTATATCAAGAGGGCAGATCTTACATAATATGAGCTGGCCTGAGGGCAGATGCTAAGGGAAGAGACGAAATCATGAGATTACGTGAGAATCCATTTTGCCAGGCTTCAAGCTAAGAGTTTGTATCAACAGTGGCTCGGACCAATCAGTGTCCTTTGAGGAACTACTGCCAGCTGCGCCATGAGCTACGAGCATGGTCTGTGGTATGTGTGACGGCATGTGTGAGAAGTGACTGTTTTCCTAAAAGCAAAAATGCTTCTATTACTGTACATTAGTATTCTGCCCAATATGAGACTAAGCCCAGGTCGTGCTCAGTTGTCCCAGAGCTCAGCTTGCATTCTCTTCAGCTACTAGTAGCACTTGTGGCTGCTAATGGCCACTGATGTGTGTAACCAGACTTGTGTGCAAAAATACCACTTGAATTCACTTGTGCACACTAACAATCAAGTTCTGTCTTTTTCGTTGAGTGTTAGTCACTCTAATTAGATTGGAAACTATCAGTGCTTTACCTATACTGCCTTAGTGTGATACTGCTGACCTTCTATGACCTTGTTCAGTCAGAAATTCTTCTTCTTCATATATATTTTATAATTTATACATGTATCAGAAATGTTGTCATTGTAATTTGTATATCCTGTGTGTTTTTTTGGTCTGCTATGTACACATTGCACACTAGGAGAGGATCCCTTCTCTGTGGCTCTTCATGAGGTTTTTTAGGGAGTTTTTCCTGAGCCGAGTCGAGGGTTTAAGGACAAAGGGTGTCAGATTGTCCCCTGAGACAAATTGTAATTTGGGATGGTGGGCTACAAAAATAAAATAGACTTGACTTGACTCCTTAACATCCAGAAAAGTCTATGAATATTAATAAATAAAATACACTGTTTCCTGTTAGTTATCATGGTATGAACTTTTTCCAATGTAATATTTCCCCTAACATAACCATTTTAAAGCTGTACTAATCAATATTTTAGTTTTTTTTTTAAAGTTCAGAAGCTACCTCTCATTTCCAGATCAGCGATTTTCAGTTTATTGCAATCTGCAACTTTGCAGCTAGATACCACTAAATCCTACTCACTGGTCCTTTAAAGTATGGTTAAAACAAAAAACATATTTTCACTACATGGGACAACTCGACCTGACTCTACATATATTTGGTACCTCTACGTTATGTTCCACTGTATTTACTGCCAGATTGACAACTTCACTGCTCACCTTTTCCTCTGCACTGCTCACATTTACTGTGGCAACCCAAAGTGACCGGGTAGGAGACAACAACAACAATCTTTCTCCAGAGTGTCTGACCCCACCTTTAGGTGCTTTTTGGATTCTCAAACAGCTTCTGAAACTTCCTGCCCACATTTATTTGAAACAAACTGAACTCCAGGGCAACCAACCCTAATTCCCCATATTAAACCATGATATCAAGCTACAATTACCTGAAATGTGAATCTATAAAAAATGCTGAACCTTACTAAACATGCACTTATACAATTCGCAACACAAAATCCCATGCAGAAATGTGTGGTGGTGAAGTTTCTCTCAAACACAAACCATGTCCAGATGTGACTACTTTTGTCACATAGGCTCCATCACTCTTATCACCTAGACATAAACACGCATGTAAAACAAGTTTACAGTCTTTCTGACAACGACTGTATCATGGCACTCTGGATTGTCAGATGGTATCACTCTCAATGGAAGTTCCACTTTTCTGGCTTTGATGCTATCTTCCCACAAACTCATCACAGAGGCCGCTTACACAGGGGTAACTCCATCCCCCTGGCTGAGTTAAAACAACAATAGCCATCTCATAAAAAAGCAGGCACTTCCCTTCAAATATTTAGCCATTTTGAGGCTCAAAGACAAGACAATAAAAGAGGCAAGGAAGGTCATGACGGGGGACGAGCGGAGTCATTCGCATTTTATTGGCTCTCTAATAAGCATACCAAGCTAGTTCTGTGGAAAACTAGGGTAAGCTGTGAAAAAGAGAGCTTTTGGATGAAAGACAAAGCTCTAGTGTCAACTGTTTATCTTTCTCCAAACCAGCTCTTAGTCATTCTTTCCTTCACACAAACAGTCAGAGAGAACAGAGCAGGAATGTGGAGCTGAAGGCACCACACAGCAGAATATTACAGATTGAGTTGTGAACACACAAGGAAGCTCTGCTCCCATTTCCCTCAAAACTCTTCCTCTTTGGCCCCCATCTCTGCACTATGATTAACAAAGCATCTGCCGGAGGAGGTGGGACAGGCTATTAGTTTGACAAGCCTGCTGTTAACATATTTCCACAGTCCCATGGCAGACTGTGAAGGCCAACCACCACTTGCTGAGGGGCTTTCAGCATGTTTTACTCATCTGTCTCAGTGAATAGATATGCTTCAGATGAATCGACAAAATGTTGCCCTTCCATTTTTTCAGCAAACCTCAGCTGAAAGAGTCTTGTCTCTTTCACTCCTCTTGTAGACCCACTGATGTGTAAAGCCCATAACAGCCCTTCAAATCACACACATATCCTTTATTCTATATTTTCAATTCAATTCAATTTT